TGTGGCAAACTCGGAAGACAGCTTCCCGTAGATCTTCCCGTGCTTCCCGAAGCACGTTTACGCGGGAATCGCATCATCACTGTGTTACAGGACAAGTGCTGTGTGCACGGAGGAAGGAGATAGAAAAACCGACTGAGTTGACGAAAATCTTTGTTGCTAACGGGTATCCGAGGCGATTTGTGAGACAAAAGTTACAGAAACGACTCAAATCAGGCCCAAGACCAATCACAGACTGGGTATCGGCAGTGAATATTCCGTACAAAAAAGGAAGTTCAGAAGCGATTGATAAGGAATAACTAAAGATCAAGGTAGTTCAGTAAAAGGGTCGAACGCTGCGGTGGACGTATGTGCATTTGAAGTATCGCCTTCCCCCAGATAGAACAACTAACTACCCGCCAGAAAACACTGCAGTCCTATGACGCGTTTCGATGATATTATATCTCATCAGATAAAGTCAGCAGGCATCAGCTCCGGTCCTCGTGATCGAAAGACCAAGGTTCACCTACAATGGGAATCGAGGTCAATATTGAGATCACGCGTCGCAATCCATTCACAAAACGTGTACTTCAAATTGACCCTCAACATCGTTCATTTAACCGTTGCCCGTCGAGACCCGGTGGCTTAGGGGTAGCGGTCACGACCAACATCCTAATGGTCTTGAGTTCGATGCCTGATAACTCTATCTGATGAGATGTAATAACATCGAAATGCGTCATAGGACTGTAGGGTTTTGGGGCGTGCAGTGTAGGCGACAGATTCGCTTGGGGGCTCGAGTGACACGTAAAAACTCCCGGGTTCAACCAAGAAAGGAAGCAGCGACGTTAACTACGTTACTATACAAATAGTAATTAAAATACAATAGCTGCATATCTCAAAAATACCCAATCAGTTCCGAAACAACCGGCCTTCACAATGTCCAACAAGACTGCAAATGGTACTTGCCACCGCACATAGAGCCACACGTAACCGAGTCTACGATCGGACTATGACCTTTCTTTTATTAGGTCCGTTAACCCATGGTTCGATATACAGCGTATTAAAGGAAATGCGATGGGCTGGTCTTGGGTCAGTCAAACAGTGAGGGTGGGAGGAACATGGAAGTGGGTACCACCGGGGCGGGAGGATGATTCAAGTCTGAGGAGTGTGTGGTGGTTGCTGGGTAGGTTGCATGGTGTGAGTGAACGATTGCCATAGTGACAGGTGAATTCGTGACAACATCGATATGAGATCACATGGGGAATAAACGGTAAACTGGCGCTCATCGATTGGGACAGGGGTTTGCTTTGGTCATCCAGACTGAGATCCCGAGACGCGGCTTGCTAATTACATAATAGTTATGTAACCATGGCACATAAATTAGGTGAGCGGATAGATTAGATAATGTTATTCATCTTGTGGGTTACATAACACTTAGGTCGGGAGAGAAAGTAACCATGGAGCATAGGGTGAGTAAACAAAAGCGGGTGGGAATGCAGAGTTAGCTCGCGTCATCCAGCTTGCGAACTGCGTGGTAAATTTACCACTTACATGCAGTAACCAATTTCTACCTGCTTCAGCTACGGTCCTCGTGATCGAAAGACCAAGGTTCAATTCAATGGGAATCGCGGTCAACACTGAACTTGCGTGTCGCAATCCATCCACATAACGTGTACTCTAAGGTGACCCTCAACAAGTAACCGCATTTACAAAATTCCATGTAAAGATTGTGTCCAAGTGTACGTTGACCAAATATTGTTGGAACTACGTATACCAATAACAGAACATAGGCGGCGCACATCACGAGCTACGAAGGACGAGCTCGGGTATAGAGCTCAGCTGGGACCCAGCAGTAGCATTGCATGCGCTAGACACAGCACCAAATTGACTTAGGAACAATGAAAAATGAATTTATACGTGTTAAAAAGCGCTGCTTTACAAGTCCCGTTGGATAGTTGGTGGGGATATCGAAGTAATAATGATAATAATAATGAAAATCAGTACTTTAAATATGAAAATAAGGTGCTACCGTCAAATCGGCGGTGGATTCAAGCTACGCGTAAACTCCCGGATCAATTTAAATGTCAACGTCGGAAATCCGCTACGGTGCTATTTATACAAAGGAGTAGGGAAACAGATTACATACTGACCTTGACAATGTCAACAACAAGGCACAATTGTTCTGTTCTCAAATCAAAACCGGACGTCCAAACAAGACCAAATGCCGGGAACAATTAACTGAAGTCCAAACAGTTACACTACTGACTAAGCATTTAATCAGATGCGGTTTAAAGCAAAACGAGCAATGGTCTAAAGAATCAAACCCTAAAAATTTCAGCTGATGGAAGTCCGGGCAGCGAATAGGTAGTGGCTTGGGGCATGTTTAGGTGGAATCACACAGACAGTGATTTGTCCGTTACATGAGGACTTATCGTTTGATCCGCTGTAGCCCTGCAATCCGCTTAGATTCACAGCACTCAGTTAACATTAAGTAACTCTATGGTAAACTCCAGGTGCAGTATGGAGACGTAGCGCTAAGTGACAAAGTGTAAGTGGATGAGTGCGTCATCCAACCGTCCTTTAAATAGTGTTAGTGTCGGTGCAGGGACGACCGATTCTCAGAGAGCATTCCACCTATGACAGACACGAATGGAAAAGAAACTTCTGCAGCACTCCAGACGACTGTATTGTTCTGCGAGTTTTAAAGAGTGGCCCCTCAGATTTGTATTGCTGCTGAGTCGCAGTAAAGGGCGGCACACATGATGTGGGTCTCGCAGAATCAAGTATACCATAATCAGGTCGCCTCGTAGTCTGCGATAGCTTCTACTAAATACCCCCGATCGTTGCAGCCTCTTCTCGTATGAAAGATTGCGAATTCCAAATACGTACTTCATGCCCGACGTTGTGGCTGTTTCAGTGCGTTAAGGTCGTGTTTTAACCAAGGATTCCAGGCCTGAACTGTTTTCGACATGGAGGCGAACATACGCACTGAACATCCACCAAAAAATAGTCATGTCAGTTTGTCTAGAAACTTGTTGCAACAGCCCGAAGTGTTGGTTTCCAGTCTTCGAGGTCATTTCGGATTGCCTGGAGTAACCCAAGTCACGTTGAACTAGGACACCGAAGTCACGTTCGACAGTTAATGGTTGCAGTGCATTCTTTCCGAGCCGCCAGGAGTAGATACTCTGATGTCCGATGGAAAGCATCATGCATTTACACAGGTTGGAGTGCAGTAAAATTTGGGTTGGTCATTGATGTATCGTATCTAGGTCACTCTGAAACAGATGCTGGTCAACGTTCACCTGAATTCTGCGCCAAATCTTGATATAGTCAGCAAACATTAGGAAGTTTGAAGCGATTGCCTGTGCGAGATCATTGATAAACACCAAAAACAGACGTGGAACTAGTACTGAGCCACGCAGTATGTCACACTCGACTTGTATGGAGTCCGATAAACAGCTCCGAACTCTGAGTACTAATCGCCGTTGAAGTCGAAAGTTGGCAAATCAGCGTAAAACTGGGTCACCGATCTCGCAATGCTGGAGCATGGAGAGTAGAATTCGATGGTCTGGACGAACGAAAGCCTTCGAAAAATTCAGGGGATCACCTCAGCGCCTTCTGCAGCGTTAGCTGACTCCGTCCAACTACTGCATGCGATTAGTGCACGCGTTGAGCATGACAGCTGTCGACGGGACCCGTGCTGCTCAGACGCGATGATGTAACAGTTTTCGTGATAACTATGGATTCCATGACCTTGGAGAGAATGGGAAGTAGGGATACTGGGCGGTAGTTGGAGAGCTCAGTACTGCTTCCAACTCTGTAAATCGGGGTTATTATTCCAGGCTTCCACATAGCGGGAACTTGATTCTGTTCTAAACAGCGCTGGAAAGTGAGCCAAAGGTCGTGCCAGCTAGCTTGTTGCTGCTTCCAGTGCCTCTGGACGAAAAATATCGACACCCGGCGAGCTTGGTTTGCATAGACGTCAGCTCCTGCAATACAGCCTCCGCGGTAAAAGTGATGTGGGTTAGTACTGGCGGAGGGACGACAAAGGTTGGAAGATCGCTTGGTGGCATATTGCATCAGCGGTGCGTTTGTTGCATCCACAGCCGTTCTTGTTGGACTACGGGCCGTCCTAAGTGGAGAAAATCCTTGCCTTAGGAGATGTCGATGTTATCAGGAGGGGGATTAGAAACAGCCCAACAAAGGTTAATTGCTGAGGCTATAAGAATTACCAAGAGTAACAAATGCGTGAAGAGAATAGACGGAATATGGCTATTTAGCGCCTGAGGTCCAGTTTTACTATGGTCAGTTTGATAAGCGTCGGCGCATGGATCTGAAGTTGGAATGGACATCCCTCCATCAAATTCCTAAGTATCGAAGACGATTCCCATCAGTGACCAATTACATTCCTACAAACCACTTCAGTACTTTCGACCGGACCGGTAACTGCCTTCTGACCAGCATCTTTCGTTCCCTATTTGACCCCGGCTAAACCCTCGAAGTACACAAGAATATAGTGAAATTTATCGCTGAGCTGTAAGTTAATCAGTGAATGTATGTAGCTTATCCATTATCGGTATAAGATGCCACTCAATTTTTAGCTAACTCAACAATCCTGGAGAAGGTTTTAAGTTAAAAGCGAAACATTATGATTTTAACAAATAGACTATCTGGTCGTTCACCAAGCCTTTTGAAAAGTTTAGGCCATTTGTCCACACCGCACGCAGGCAAGGAACGACCGCTTAGGATGTGAAACGGAGGCAAACAGCATGTTGGCATACTATGCGCCACACAAAAGAATGTGTTCCATCTGCGCAAAGTGCTATGGCTAGAGTGGAAGCGGTAACATGACCAGTAAGACAGGATGTCGTCGCAGCCCTCCGCTGCCACCAGACCGCCAACAGTCGTGCGAGGAATAGAAATGCTATGTGGTCGCCCAGTAAACTTCGGAATACAAGGCAAGCAACTTATCCATCGCATCATCGACTGGAATCACCCATCTGAATCGAAGCAAAACTAGTAAGTTGATAGAAGCGTTTAATGGACACACAGAAAACAACAAACGGAAAAATCACATGCAAATACATTGTTTCCGCTCACATAGAATACGAAGAATAAAAACTAGAAGACAATCGATCTGATCACATGCTATCCGGAGGATATCTACAACGGGGGGGGGGGAACCAATAGTTAGGAAGGAAAAGGCAGTCCGAGTCCGCCAGGTTCAACTCGCAGAGGCCATACCCACAGGTGTGACAGACACAAATCGTCCCAGAGTGGTATCTTCCGGTGTATTAGCCGTTGGGTCATCCACATACGGGTGCCAAACTGACCCCCAATGCAGTGGCTTTCGAACCGCGCGTTTGCGATTGGCGCCCACAATGAGTTCGGGATCCACAGGGATCATTGGCCTTTGGGAGAAGAAAAGTATCGACAAAGTGACTAGAATCGTGAATGATTTATTGATGGACAAACGCCATACAAAGAAAAATGAACGCCAGAAACAGATGCAGTATGCATGCAAGACTGTGATGGGAGCCGTGGCACAATACTCGACCTTCATCAATAATAGAATACAGGATGCTAATTGACTTCGCCTTTGATGAAATGTTCAGGAGACGTGGTTACCGCCTCCACTTAACATTCTGTATGGATCATACCTTCAAGTTGAGTCAAAAATGTGCGTGAATAATATGCAGCAACACGTACAATATTTAGCAGGCGAATACGGTGGAAGTAGTTGTTTGATACATAACCGAGGGGAATAAAAGCAATGATTAAATTTACCGGCCAATTGTTCTATGACAAAGATATGATTTAGCAAAATCCTGCGAGAACCTGTTAGATATGGGATGAGCTATGTGCGAGCATAAATGGAGCTGTGCTTCTACGTGGTCGAGGAATTGGATACGTACAGAAATCGTGCACCATGAGTTGAGTGATCGGCATCGGGGAGTAGTAGCCATGCGTTTACAAGAAGTAACGAGTAGATATGAGCGATAATTAAAGTTCCTACGGCTTTGCTAGAAACCAGCGAGGTTGACATGAAAGAAAACAGGTACACGCACACTTTTTAATTATTTCCCGAAGTTGAACCCCAATCCATCACGAGATTTGTGGCGGAGTTGTTATTTAACAGGGTGGATGCCTTACGTCAATTCCTTGCTGTATGCATCCGGCAACCTTCTATCACCACTACGGAGAATTGAACAGAACATTCAGAGGTAAGATGAATGAGTATCAAGAAAAGTATATTGGTCACGTACATTAGCTAGTGTCATGTCACGATATCGGCTAGAGAAGAATGACTGCATAGGGCGAGATGCAGCCTTGGTGCGGAGTGTCGCGTTCGTGGCTCAGACATACAATTTCAACATGCAATCCGACAGTCCACACCGACCGCCTATATGCATCATGAGATAATAATTGCAGTTAGAATTTTACACGACGAAATCAACCAAACCGGGTAACTCTCCGGATTGCTACATTTAGAAATCATGTAGTTTCTTTTCAGCATGTTTTCCATGGAGTGACCGCAGTAAGTCGAATAGTTCATGTGAGTGGAGACATAACCGTTTTAGAGTATTGTAAGCGAGCGATACTTGTAAGATGACCAGATAGCGGGGAAAAGTTATAACAAAAATACTGTCGAAGCGTTGGTGTTCATTATGCCGTAGGCAATGAACGGAGAGAACGGCTAAATTTGAAGGTCCCACCCTCAGGGCTTGTCAAAACTCTACGGACCATTCGGAGAGCGTCACAAAACTGTTTAGGGGATGAGCGAATGATTGCTTCACGATGAATCCTGTCTCTCTGTGGAGACAACACCAAGCGGCGTTCTCTCTAACGCATGTGATGCATAGAATGTGAGGTAACCAACTCAAGCGTCGAACACGAGTGGACACACAAGCCACATCTACCAAGTTTCTCCTCGGAAGTAGGGTCAGCACACCGCATGCGACATAAAGTGGTCACATAGGTGAGAGGTTCAGAACTTTGCGTTCATGGACTTGAAGTACGGTAAAAACTGATACAACACTTGTGATGGGATTATGCAATCAAATGGATGGGACGGATTTACATGACGAAGCAAGCGGCTACGTCGCCGCAAGCGAACAATACAGATGATTAGACGCCTACGCATCATCGCCCTTACGCTGAGTGGTACGTATATGGCAGCGCTGGAGTGAGTTTACTTGACTGATACAAAGGAAGAATCTCATGAATGCAGAAACGTCGTTAGTTATGGAAGTGACTCAGTAATTTACAACGAGGCTTCTACACGCTGACCATGCTGTCAGTTTCGCTGAGCTTGCTTTGTCGAATAACCAGATTGTCTATGACGGACCCAGTTTTGCGACATGTTGTCAGGGAAGACCAAGGCAAGATCGCCGAACGGTGCCCAGTTGCCGACTGGAGCGAAATCAGCCGTGCAACACCTGCACCACCAAACACGGTAGAACACAACTTGGCCAGTATCTGGAGAATTTGGCAAAGCAAATGAATCGATTTTATCTACCAGTGCGTCTAAATGAACAACCGATGGCGTATCGCCTTGCGAGGTTTCGACATATGATCAGAGATGAAGCACGCCGCGTCCAGGAAAGTATGCAGTTCGAAAAGGACGAGGATTCAGCTGGTCTGGAACGTCATCCGAAAATTGGGCGATTTCTGTGAGGGCCAGACTAACGAAACGTATCGCGTTATCTCTTTTGTACTCAAAACAGGTGCCAGAAAGAAACTATCGAGAACTATGCTATGAAGCTGAAAATCGTGCCACGTTCCTGTAATTTTTGCAATTGCATGGCTGACAGTCTCATCCGAGTTAGAATCGCGCTGGGGATCAATGATGCTAACATCACCAATCGAATGTTGCGGTAACGGCAACAATGCAACGGCGACAATGCTTTGATAGATAGCTCAGTGAATCGTCCGCTACACATCACATCCAGCAAATGTGGTTGCCGTCTGATGCAAAGCTATGTACCGTGTCCAGCTTGCCAGACAATATCGTGAAGCCTGTTGCCTAGACACAAAAAACGTGCAATTTCTGCGCCGTGTGACACCCGAACGATCGTGATCAATGTCCGGCGTGGGGCCGAAATTGCGCCAATGTGCCAGAGGAAATCATTTCGTCCGATGCTGCCAGTCTACCAAAGTGAATGCAATCAATCGTGAAACAACACACTCCGGATCTGAACATTCAATCAGCAACGTGTTGCGGACAGGACTACAGAAGTGCGGCTACACATGTTTATTGGCTGGCAACGAAATCGTGCGTTTCTACTTAGATACGGGTGCTACCATCAGCATGTAGGAGAGAATCGGTGTCCAGGAATTCATGTGTGACCAGACCAAGGATTCTTGAGGATGTAGGACGGCTCCAACCGAAGGGCATGATCACAATCGAAGTGATCAGTTCTAAAGACGCATCCTCACGTCAGTTGGATTCCGTGGTAGTGGAGGAAGATCTCACGCCAATTCTCGGCAGTGATGCCATCCAGTAGTTTTGCTTTGTTCATTGTAACCACGATCGTTTCGTGCATACGTGTCGATCGGAGACAGATTTAAGTGAGCAGTATCCCTCCGTGGTTACCTAGGTTTGAGGAGGTCTGAATATTGCGCTCACTTGTCACTAAATCCATCAGTACGACCAACTGCAGTGCTGGCTAAAAGGGTTCCGTTTGCTTTAAGTGATAAGTTCGCCACCGAACTAAGTAACTTGCTGCAATTGGACGTAATCACTAGGGTCGACGAACCGACAGACTGGATTATTCAAATAAAACTTGTTACGAAAAGGAACGGCGATTTGCGTTTGTGCATAGATTCTAAGCGATTGAACCAGGCTTTACGTAGAGAAGACCTTACGCATCCAAGGTTAGGTGTTCTCTGGCGATTGGCTAAGGCAAAGTACTTCACCAAGATTGATCTATCATTGGCGATCCGGCCCGCGGTTCCAGATGAGGAATCCAGTCTCCTGAAGATGTCTGTCAAATACTTCGGGCGTATTCGCTGGCTACGTTTACCGTTTAAAGGTCTCAAGCGAGATTCTTCAGAAGCGGTTATTGCAAGCTGTTGACGATATAGACGGTGTAACAAGTGCAGCAATGTGTCGATTTACGGCTCGACCGACCAGAAACATGGCGTCAAGCTGCACCACTTTTTACAGCGTTGCGTTTAAAAGAACACAAAGCTCGAAGGTGAAAAGTTAGGCTCGAAAACCGGTATTGATTTTGCGTAGGCACGTTCCGACATCCGAGGGAAAAAAGATCGATCCCAAGAAAACCAAGGCAGTGCAGGAGATGCCACAACCTAAGGACGTCAAGGCTGTTAGTCGTTTAAATAGCATGGTGAATTATTTGAGCCGGTTCTTAATAAAGCTAACTGGAATCATGACGCCCATCCAGAGACTGACACACAAGGATACAAAGTGGAGTAGGGGGGAAAAGAGCAAGAGGCTGCTAATACAACCATCAGGAATCGCATCAACTGTGCACCAGTATTCGGCTACTGTGATCCTGCTCTGCCTTCGGAGGTGCAATGCGATAGCAGCCAGAGTGGAATAAGGGAGTTCCCATGCAGGTTGGTTAAATCATCGGATTTCTGCAGTTGGGCGCACACAGTGGCGGAATAGCGCTATGTGCAGACCGAAAAGTAGATGCACGCTGGTTGTCCATGCGACAGAGCGGTTCAACGATTACGCCTCTGGGAGGAAGATGACCGTGTATACTGACCATAAACCGCTGGTATCAATAGTTAGTAAACCGCTACGCTATGTCCCGCAACATATTCAACTAATGCTTATCTTGCTCCGATAATACAAAATGGATCTCGAGTATACCACGGGGACGCAGATGTTTATCGCAGACGCTTTGTCGAGAGCTCATCTTCCGAGAGCCGAACACCAACAAAATGAAATCGAGGCGGCAAATTTGGTACATCTGGCGACAACGGCACATCGACTGAAGGAAATAAGGTGTAATACGGAGGCAGATGTTACTTGCAAGGCATTGCGAGACATGCTTTTGAGTGGTTGACCAGATACAAATGATAAGCCTCCGAAGGAATTAACGCGATTCTTCATTCGGGACGAACTCACGATGTGCGACATATTTAGCAGCGCTGTAGTGAGTTTTCTTGACTGATTCAAAGAAAGAAGCTTATGAATGCAGTAACGTCGTTAGTTATGGAAGGGACATAGTTATGTATATCGAGGTTTCTACAAGCTTAACATGCCGTCACTTTCGCTTTGCCGAATAAACCTTTTGTCCTTGAAAGACCAAGTTTTGCGACAACGCTGACCACTGATTCCAACTGAGTTCAGTTCAGCAGCTGACACCCGACTATTCTTAAGATGGGTGTGGAGTCGTCACAACGCATTACGGTGCAGCATTGAAAGCTCTAAGAGGTAAGCCATTAGACGGAAGGGGACACCAATCCAGAAGCGTCAAGATAGAGACAAAATAAAACACCAAAAGTACATGCACACTTTTATTTGTACGTAAATAGCTCCAAAGTGTTAGGGACCTCTTAAAAGTATTTCCAATCTGGAAGTGTCGAAGGCGGATTTAATTGGACACAGTTTGGTATCGGATACGAAGAAACCTGGCAGTAAGGTGCCAAGACGGTAAACCACACAGTAGATTTCTATGCAAAGGAGTGGTTACGACTGTCTCATTGGATGTTCGTAGCAGCAGGGATGCACTAGTGACATGAGCTACTTTTGATCGCTTTCCCAACGTTCACAAATCAAAGGGGGAACCCTCTTACCCTCGCTCTCGAACCACAGTATGGATGAAGGTAGTGAAGCCATTGAGGATGTAGAGGATAAGACAAGAAAGAGCCTCTGTGACAGTTATCATCACTTGTGTTGAAGCCTTTTGAATGAGCCATAGAACTGTTTTTGAAAATGCTTCGTGTGTTGCAAAAATTATAAATGAGGTAGCAATCTCGCGTCAAGTTGTAGCCAAGCATATATGGCCTAGAAGGAAGCGCAGGTTGCGGATTGCAGGAAGGAAATGCACCAATAAAAACAGCAAAAATATCCAAGTGAAGATGTGAACGGGGAAGAAAGTGTGACGTCGTCTTTCGGAGGGGCCAAAGAATAGATGGGTTGAAGTAATAAATATTTATCATCCAGATAAATGATCTGTGCCAAATATGGATACAGCTTTCCATATGATGAGAAATATGCCTATTATTATTGTTATTATTGTTGTTATGATTATTAGTATTATTAGTAGTAGTAATGCAGTATGCTCGGAAGAATCTGGTGCGGATAGGTAACAACAGTTTAGGGCAAAAGGTGCGGGGACAGTCGGCAGGATCCCCGGACATCACTAATAACAAGCTTATTCACGCTGGAAGCGATAGAAAATGACAGATCAGGAAAGTGCCGGCGATAGTAAAGCCACGGAGCCTACGCGACAAGATGAAGCCTACTGTAAGTCGTATATGTAGTGCGCTAAATCAACATATTTTCCACGACCACCGGAAGGACGAAAGTTATGTTGGGCAACTGAGGCAAGAAAACAAGAGTACGTTCGAAACCAAATTAGTATGTGCGTCGAATTCTGCAGAGTAAGTATGCACGAGGAGCTAATAAGCATGAAGAAAATGGTCGACAGAACGGACCGCATTGGGAAGGTGTAGCGCAATCGAGCGTACTATGAGTGGAGGGGAGGTAGTTTAAGCGGACTAAGAGTTCGCCTAATCATGGAGTGGCAACCAGGATGCCTTTATAAGCAAACGGCGTGCGATGTTGCTGTTGCAAGTGTACGCGCAATACGCAGGGGAGCACATGCAGTTTCACGAATTCGTGTGCATACACACCCGGTGATCACGCAGGAGGTGATTCACGTCACAGTGGAGTGGATGGAAGTGTACACAACGAGCTCATTAGGGAAGTTCAGTTACAAATTCTTTCGGAATGATCTATTGGCGCCAGTTCTGTCTCGCAAATAACGGGATCCCATAAGCACATCGATCATGGCGATGTGGTGTTCGATCGTGGAATAACGAATATGGTAGTCAGATATGAATCCGAATAGGATTGCAGGTGAAAATCCAGAAGGGGGGACTGAGACCAATGTGGTGTGAAGCAAAAGTATTGGGTAGTTAATGCATCATTAAGCTCACCGGGGTCTAGGTTGGCAAAGATCTTCGGGCCAGTCTGAGGTGCACATCTGCTCGGTCCGATGGTTTCGTGAATGCACATTTGAATCAGTTGAATTACTCGTTTCTTTGGTCAAGATCGGAGGCGGATTCGCGCAAAACGGTATGCTGGCTGAGGAAAAGCGGTAATCTTCATACTCCACTGGTTTGTAAGTCACCATAACCGCTTCGTTGGCTGCTTCGGCTTTGCGACGTTCCACTAGCTCGAATGACTCTGAGTTATGCATGTTATCTGAAGCAGTAGCTGCCGGCTGATGGAGTGAAGCGGCCAACAACTGTAGCTCGGCCGCGTCCGCAGCCGCTTTGGCCAGGGTCATCATATTGGTTCCGTACAGACTGTTGGCCGGGTTTTCCATCAACATCAGAGGGTAGGATGGGGGAACGCTAGCCCCGAGGCTGTTTGTGGGCCATAGGCTTTCGGCCAGAGGCGAAGCGAACTCAGTTGGTAATGAGGCAGCGTTAAAATGGTACACGTTCATGTCTCGCAGGTATAGTTGCAAATGTCCAGTCTCCGTACCGAAGATGACACCATTTCCGCTGACAAGCAAAAGGGAGGAAAACATGCTTTGGTTTAGAGTATTTAGCTAGAGATCATGAGGAGATTTGTGAAAGAAGGACTGAGTAAAATGCAGGTTCAATAGCAACAACACCGGTAACATGAATCATTTAAAGTTGGTGTACAAGGACTGCGCAAAAAACCCATGCATCTGCTCAGCAAGACGATTAGTGCTTTTACAGTACGCATGGGATGTGATCGCAGAACCACTTGGTTGCAGTTCGCATATCATCCCTCGGCCACCCACAAAGGTACGCGATCGAACGAACAATCGCGTCGAAATTCTGAGCATGTTACAGCCTTCCGCAAAGCCGGAGCAGCAAAGGCAACAGAAAGACGAGACGAACTATAACATCTAGCTCAAGCTGGGTGGATAGCGACCAACAAAGTAAGGGCAAACGGATACGGACCTGTGGGAGATTTAATGAGATGACTCGCATCACCACCTGTTGCACTAGCACAAGTTACACTGCAATTTATTCGTCCGACAAGTGCAAGTATATGCATCCCTGGATTTGCCACATGTGGCATCCACATTTGTACTAAGGAGCATCCAAAGCTTCCTGCGGTAAAATTATGCAAGAAACGGATTAGGCGCATTTGCCGTGGAAGAATGCGTTAAACGCTAAGATTGGTTCAGGACAGACGTCAATTTAAAGTTAACGATAGCCCCTTTCTCTAAGAGCTGAGGACCGCTGCATGTATACCAACTGGAGTACGCAGACATGTCAAATAGCCGATTATCAGTTAAGACCCAGGGCACGGGTTGCGGGAAAGCGGTGGTTTAAATGAAATCAAATAAAGCTTACACAACTGGACATCCTACGAGTGTCTGCGACACCTCACCAGAAGGCTAGCTCGTCCACCCGAAACGACGGACTAACAGTGTGCATACCATAGAGCTAGTGAGGAGTCAGGGTGGTAAGATAACTCCAGTAAGACTCACTTGTGAGAGATGTCCAATGCCACCAAACGGTCGTATGTGGGCCAAAGCTGACCCAGGTCATCGGGAGAGAACGCGCGATTGCTGCATTCGATGGTCTGAAAGCTACCGCCTTGAGAAGCGGTTAAGAGGCGATTAGTTGAGTTGGAGAAGAATCGGGCAAAACACGGATCCAGAGAGGTGGAAAGTGGGGCCTGCGCTCGTCCAGACCGCAAATCGTACACCTGGGAGAAAGAGATGGAATCGGAAAGTACCAAGTCACATTTGACCATTGGCATCATGGCGCCGGAGCAGCATGGATTTCGTAAACATCGATCATGTACCATGAATCTGCGGATAGCACGTGACAATTGGACCGAAACAGTCGACCAGCGGACAGAAATCGATGTTATTTACATGGACTTTTCGTAGGCCTTCGATCGCTTGGATAAGCGAATTCTCATGCGCAAACTGCATCTCTACGGTGTAGGCGACCCAGTATTAGGATGCGTTGGTAACTTTCTCCGCGAACGGCAACTGGAGGTAAGAGTCCGAACTTCTGTCCGACCCGATTCGAGTGGAATGCAGCGTACTGCAGGATTTGGTACTTGGACCTGGCTTGTTCTTAGTTTTTAGCAACGATCTAGCGAGAGCTATCATCACAAAATTTTTACTTTTCACGGATTACGTTAAAATTTTGCGGGCGAGCAAGGGAATGGGCGATCACGAGATCATCCAATGCGACATCGATGAAGCCTAGCATTGGTCAGTGATGAATGCACTGCCATTCAATGTGGACAAGTGCCACGTCGTCCACATCCGCCATCGACACGCCTATCTCTACAAAGTTGGGGCGCACGATCTGCAAACAAGCCCTCAGGAACGTGACCTCGGTTTTTTCAGACAGTCAGAATCTACTTCAGAAAGAGGTAACTTGCATGTCGGTCTATTGCGTAAAGCATCAGAGTTAGAATTGATCCAGCTTCTCTCTGATGCTCAATGCCTACCTACGTCCCCACGTCGAATACGCAATCCAGGTTTGGTATCCTTGGCTAAAGCGTGACCTTGCAGCCCACCTCAATGTTGAGCAACAAAATTTGTCAATGGATTGCGCAACCTTCCGTACCGCAACGACTGAAGACACTTGGAGTGTTCAGTGGGCGCTACCGGAGGCTACGTGGAGGCATTATATTCGTCTACCAGATATTGAGCGACCCCACTTAAGTATGCCAACACCTACTGAAACTCAGCCCGAACATCAACATTAAGAGACGGAGTCAACACAGTCGTCTCGATTGGCGACGAAATTACTTCTCCCTCCGGATCTGTAAACCCTGGAACGCCCTTCCAAACTCAGTTGTTTGTGCTCTCACCTTAGCTGTTTTCAAAAAACGATTGGACGTCAAACTGAACGCTCTACACTTTGTTACTTGAACGGATATGTTGGATTTATTCTGGCTATATAGTCACTGCAATTATGACCCACAGTGATGCACGTAAATTTGTGGAGAGAGGGGAACAACCTGCTTTCACTTGCTGTGAGTATTAATGCGTACAACTTTCTTGTTGGATTATCCCGTAATATCTCATCCCTATAACCATCCCATTTAACATAAGTACTCTATCGCTTTGCCCATGCGTATTTTATTTGGTCCACTTAGGTAATATTTAAGCCGCAATTTCTTCTGTTAACAACCTACGGTCATGTTAAGCCTGTGCTATTTTTCCCGTTATAAACCATTGTTCCATATGATTAGACATCACACAACCAATAAATGTAGCACAGTGCCTCAACATAAAGATGCACACGATGAGGCGAAAAGGAAAAAGACAAGCAACCGTTAATGGTGCAACAATATGTCCGCGACTGAATGCGACATCCAGCCACACCTGAGGGTGCTTACCATCACGTCCCCGACCCCAGAGCACCATACCATTAACAGTTGTGAGAATAGCGACCTCACAAGTTGAACCAAAGTCATATGTTTGTCACATTGCTAATGTTATCAGCCAAATTCAGCGCGCAAAAAAGCGGATACGTCGAGGTGACCGAAAGGTAGCTATGCGAAACACGTACCCAAACCATCGATATGTGAGCAATGAAACTATGCAAACACGGAGTCCTGGTTAAAAATCAGTCAACAAATGTCACAAGTACTAATGTGGCTATTGTACACTAGCAATATCTCGAAAGCACTGGTAGGAAAAGGCATCAAGAAATTTACCGTGCATTTGGACCTAGCTTCATTCGGGAGTATTGTAGACTCGGCATCTTTGAGAAGAACTGAACTCAAGCAGGAGGATCTATTGTCTTTGTAATTAGTAGCAATTAGACTCGGCCAGACAGCTACCACACATGCAGGGAAACTCTAGACGGTTGTTCCATCGTAGTAGAACCATAAAAATCAATAAGTGCCTTCGAAGCTTACATGCCCCCTAGATTGGTGAAGACTTGAGAAGGAAGTCGCAGCTCTTAGGACCAGTCCTGTCATCCGCACACTTATAACACGAATGCGAGTGGAGGATGAGCCGCGATGTATCGTAGTTAGATATCAGTCATGGTGGTCCGTTTCAGTCACCCAGGGCTCACTGTGTCGTAAGGGTAAAATAAAGAGTTCAAATACGGTAGGATACGGCGAGTGCGCGCTACTGAGGAGGCCCAATGAGACAAAACGGCCGCCTAGCGCTTTCTTGGATGTGTGGTGGCTTAGTAGCTGAGTATAGCTGTGACGAATATTGCAAAAATTAGCTCAAAACGGCGCAAAAGTGATGAACAGGAGCCAAGGTAATCAAAGCTTTAGAAATGGGCAAAAGACACGCTAAAGTATCTCCCAAGTAGTGATTCAAAGGGCGAGAGAAGTAGTAAATGTTGTAGTAAAATCATAAATTTCCGAAAGACGAACGTTATTTGGACACCCCTAACCTATGCAGCACATCCGGAACAGTATGCTAGGGAGCAAAACTGCAGCAAGGTCGCAAGTATACTACAAAGCACGAAGTCAAGTCATACGAAGCAGTCCAATCCAATTGAATCCTTGGCTTCACGGAGAGCTCGCCTGGAAGATATATATAGTGAAGTTGAAAGGGAGTGATGGTGTTGGGTGATACTGTACCACGCGACTGAGGAGGTTGAAGTTGACAAGATATCGCAAGAAATCAGCAGAAAATGTACGCACGACTGAACAGCTCATTGCAGTAAGACGGATCCCTGAAGCCATGAACATGATTGATGAAGTTGAAACGTGATTCATAGTTGGGTGGTATCTGTCTGTGTGTGATTCAACTCGACCCGCTTCGTGAATACCACGGTAAGGCAAGCTTCTGTCTATGGCATGTTTAGGGGTATTCAAAGAGGAAGATTGAGATGGAAACGAGGCATACTGCTTGATACAGACCACCGGATTGATACACAAAGTAACACCGTAGCCATGATGAATATGGTAGTGGATGACACAAAAACAGGGAGCGTTATTGAAGTTTAGCAAAAGTGTACATCTAATTGCGTGACAGAGTTCATCTGTTAAATATTCATTTACATCAGCCAATCAGGCCTTAAATAGACAGCTACTTTACAGTTCTATTGAGCAATACATCGTCCCTGGCGTGGATGTCGTCTGCTAAGTGAGACTGGGCAAAGCAGGAGTGTGTATCCACAGAAAAAAAATTAAAAAAAACACGGGGAAAGCTAGTCCAGAAGATAAAAATGACGACCCCGAAGAGAACTTTTGCATATGTGAAGCGGCACATGAAGCCGGTAGGTGACCTAGAAGTGAGAGTGAGCTTGGATGGACAGTTCCTAAGCCTCAACGCTGAGTGTACGTCCGCATTAGAGGTTCACTTTACTTCCGTGTTTGCGAATGACCAGATGTCTGTACCGAGTTCGACACACACCGCTGCTACCGAACTCGATAATGCGGATTGTGGTGCAGAAGAGGTGCGTCAACTAATCACCAACCTTGATGGGCTTCAGAGGCTCCAATCTCGCATTCTCAAGCTCTTATCGTTCATCATCTCGTTTGCTGTGAATGACATGTCCGATACATCGCCGAATGATTAGAAATATTCGGTTGTAAGATCTATTCCGAAAGTCTGTGACTCCAGCAAAGTAGACAATTACAGGCCAATCTGATTGGCACCTATTTTGTATAAGTTGAAGAGAAGATTGTAAAGAAAAGTTAGCTACAACTGTTCCCGTCTAAAGATTTCCTGACGCTCGCATAGCACGGTTTCATGCCAGATGGTTGATGCATCAGCAACCTGCTCGCGACGAGGCTTGCATGGTTGCAAGTAGTGAACTCGGAGAAGTCTGTTAACGTGATCCACACCGACCACAACAAGGAGTTTGACAGGGTAAAACGAGATCCTCCTCCACAAGCTGAGAGTGCGTGATGTCGACGGCTCACTGTAACACTGGATGAGTGAGTTTATTGCTGGGTGAAAATGGGGGGCGGAGTTGATAGCCATCTGCCAAACTGGTATTCTTCAACCAGTGGCGTACCCCGAGACACCGCGCTAAGGCCTACATTGTTCTTAATTGGTATCAACGATCTACCGCAGATTCTTCGGTTGCCGGGTGCCCCGTTTACAGACGAGATGAGTACGTGCATGGCGATAAGTAGTTCCGATAACTGCGGCTTACTTCAACAATTCCTCAACTGACTTCGCATATGGTTTGCAAAAGTCCGCCTTCAAGCGTAGGGTGATGAAGGCCGAAACTACACCCCTGACGGCTAACTGCTACATCACACACCTATCGTGAAGGACCTAGGCGTACCAGTAGGTTGCGACTTCAGGTCTGTGGATAACACGAATGGTTACACAGAAAAGAGCTGCGCGTGTTTTGGATAGTCAAACTCAGATTCTGCATACGGTCTGAAGACGGTGCCAGTCACCACTTCTTCTTTACCGTAAGATCAATAATAGAGTACGGATGGCCCGCATGTTACTTGACCACTCAGGGCGAGAAGCAGAAGATCGAAAGGGTCCACCACGTCGCAACAAGGCTCATCAGTTTAGGGGGCTTATCCTAGGAACACAAGTGCGAGAGACTAGGCCTGTACACCTTAGCCTATCGTCGAGTGCGAGTCGACTTCATCATAACCTAACGCATTCCACATCTAGGTGACTTCCCCACGTTGAGGCCACTTCTCCACTTGCGAACACGTTGTAGCATACGCGGCACCAGTACAACCTTGTGGTGCCAGGGCTGAAGCGAGATCCGCTGCCTTTGTACTTTGAATGCCGAGTGGTCAATGTTGGAAACAGTTTATCGGGGTATATCGTGTAATTATAGTCAGTGCGGCTGGTTCAGACAATGTTGGATTTACGTTTCTCCAATGTTAGATTCCAATGATAATGACCCACTGACAATGATATCTCACATGTTTGAGTCCATTTTACGGTATGTTCCACGTCTTTCTTTAACGAATACACGTGAGAATTTGAGAAAAGACTAGTGTGTTGACTGACCATGGATAGTTCTTTGACTATTTCAGGCATATTTCGATTGAGTTGCACATATATACTTTGCACATCATCCCATAACACATTACTGAGTGACAGATGGTAAACTGAAACTATGCGTAGGAAACCAACAGTGCGTGGGAAGTTCTTGCTAGAATGTGACACAGCAATTGCCCAAATGTTGATAATGGTCACTGGGAAGAAACAATTGGGAGCACTATTCATGATACAAGATGAATCGTACAGAGCAACGTAGTGTTGTGACACTGGTTCAGTAACACTGTGGGCAAAATGACGGTAGCTCTGTGCTGGACGGCTGGGTACATCTCAGTAACAGCACGATAGACCGGGTGATACGACTCTTGAACAAAAGAGTAAAACGGATTAGAATTGGACCCGCTCAGGAAACAATGGGGAATACAATTGTGTTCTATCAGCCAGAGGAACAGTACTAACCAGAAAAACAGTATGCATCAAGTTATTGAATAGTACTAATGAGTAGTGTGGATTTTGGGTATAATTCAGAGATAGTTCATCACGGTCCACTCTCAGCGCCTGCTGAATGAGAGTGGACCGTGATGAACTATCTCTGAATTGTATGCAAGGGTTCAAAGGTGTAACATGGGATAAAAAGTGGTGGTCATAAAAGACCCATGGGATAACAAATGTGAAAAGAATATCAGAATGTGCGGACGTGAAGCGTGAGCTATCAATATCTCAAATAGGGCACTTTGTCACACTGTAAAATTTAACACTTCGATGAAAGTCAAATAGCCTTTCGAAGCTTCATTCATTCGAAGCGCATTCACCACATGTGCTCGTAATGCGTTCAAATGTGAACGAAATCTAAGGGAGTAAGAGAACGCCCTGCAGATCAAGCAGGACTGTTTGATTAAGAGTTTCACGTTGTGGCCTAGGCATTGCTAGCAAGAAGCTAGGGCCAGTAGCGATTTACAGGGGGAATCTCTGCCAGTAATTGATATGCGAAAATGAAATCTCTGCGAAGTGGATAGCCGAGGGCCGGACCATATGTAATACACCCATTAGGGCACGTATGTCAAGACGACACAGGGATTTACAAAAAAGCTATGGGCACTCACTTTTAACAAGCGATCGACTCGCAATCCGGAATCGCCCAAACGCGACCAACCACAGGTCACTAGAGAATAGCCATAAGGGGCTACAGTGATGTCAGATATCTCACCAGTGTGTGCAGCGAGCTCTCGCACGATCCCACGGTGCGTGCGTGGGTCAAGTACAATGACCTGAGAAACAGCAGAGAGTATAAAACATAAACGAGGATCGATTCAATTCAGCACTAGATGCAGTAGGTGGAATATACAATAATCGTAGGTGGAAGGAATGGGGAGATTCGCTGATGCAGCCAACAGAGCAGACCGTGGATGACATAAGTATACGTCGAAAGAAAACCTACAGTACCGACCTGTTGATGCTACTTTGTTAACCGTCATCCCGAGGTGGCTACAGATAGAGAGATCGTGGAACCGCCTGATGGGGCGCATATAGGGAATCGCTAACACGCTACAGGCGGAAAGGTGTCGTTGCAGTGAAATTGCATACAGGGTATGTGTAGTAACCTAAAATATGTGAGCTTCGTGGTGCTTACTGCAAACATACTTACTCTAAAGTAGATAAGAAAAAGATAGTCCCACTAACTCCGGAACCTTTTACAAAGATTTTGTCGTTGAGTCGCCTGCTAATTCAATGACTTCGAACCCAACTGGCTGAGCAGAAGGCCAAAAGGCGCGTTAATTGTCAAAAGTCAGGAACAATTGATTGTTGCTAAAAAGGAGGCGCCAGTAGTACACACCGGGAAATCGTAATGGTTTTCCGACGCCCCCCCCCCCCGGTTGCGGGTGGGATTGGATATTGCGGGGTCAGCAGCATTTAAGTAGGCTCGAGAAGGCGATTTATGGACTACAAGATAAACACCCACACCACTTCGCCACTGCCCCGGCACTTCATAGTTTAACAATACATTGAGGTTCAAACCAACCGTTGTTTGACGACGCATAGCTGCGAAATAGACTCGAAGATGGTAGAGCCCAGGTGGCATCTCGGGACATCGATCTGGTATTATTTCGCTTCCGAACTATTACGCTAAAGATACTCATAAATGCATCGTTCTAACACCGGCTGACTGGCTGCGGCAATTGCATACAGGCGGCCGAATAAATCGTACTGAACTTAGGGTTAGGAGCTGGCTGGCTTGCCGAACAACCTCCTCGTGGTGCCAGCTGGGTGGTTCGGGATTATCCCGTTCCAGCGAATGGTTCGGCGGCAGTGTTCCAGGACGTGGTGGGTTTTCGCCTGGCAAGCGGTCTCCCTATAAAAAACCACATATGTCCGCTTAACAACACTGTGACGTGGCGGATGTGACTCGCCACTAACTAAAGTCACTGCCCCTTGCCTCTCTCTGAGTGGCATTGTAATTCAAGGGTGCGTTGGGCCCCTGGTCCTATGCGGTCCTAAAGGCGTATGAACCATCTGTTTGGTCACCGGCTCCCAACGGGTTGCGATACCCTCATATCGCCCTGCTGCCTTGTAGGTTAGATCCTTGATCAAAGGCTCGGGGTGGGGCCCCCTAAGACAACCCTCTAATTCGGCCTGGGCAACCGGGTAGTATCTCGCCCACTGACGAACCATGGACTTACAACACGACCATTCACCCGCTGTCTTGCTGCTACCATGCTATTCACTCATGTTACTATGCCAACTGCACAAGCACACGCCACCATTTTACCTACCCTTCCCGTGTACCATTCACACCCATTTTTACCTGATTCCTCTACAACGATCAATCCCACCTACACTGATGAACCTGTTCCCGTGACATCTGCCAACTCAACCACGCAGTACTCAACAGAGAGTTGCCGGTCCCAAAGTCGCCCATCTTCGCTCCTGCAACCCGGAACGCAGTTCAAACTTGCAGCTTTTAACATACGCACATTACTGCAGATCGGTCAGGAAGCTGGAGTTGCACGCACGCTAGAGACCCTTGGAATTGATATCTGCTGCCTGACTGAAACACGACTCCAGGACTCTAACTCGGTCTACCAGCTGGTGTCACCGCTCCACCCACGCACCCGGTTCCATCTCCGCCTCTCTGGTGACGCCGAGTCTGCCGTATCTGGGCAAGCTGGTGTTGGAATCGCCCTCAGTGCTAGAGTCGAGACTGCTTTGATTGATTGGATTCCGATCAATAGCCGCCTTTGTGCGATGAGGCTCCATGGCTCTTGTAAAGTCAGCAGACGTCGAGTCGAAAAGCGTGCTCTCTTCGTGATCTCTGCCTACGCGCCCACTGACTGTAGCTCAGACATCGTCAAAGACCAATTCTACCAGAACCTTCATGAGCTGCTCCTAAGGGCTCCTAAAACAGACATCATTGTTTTGGCAGGTGACTTCAATGCGCGTGTCGGTCGTCTGCTGCCATGTGAGCGCCACCTCGGAGGACCGCATGGATATGGTGATGTTCGCTCAGACAATGGAGAGAGACTGCTCAGTCTTTGTGCTGATCATCAACTATTCCTCTCCAGCACCAGCTTTCGTCATCCTGGACGCCAGTACGCCACTTGGCGCCCCCCATCATCAACCCAGCGCTGGTCACAGATTGACCACATAGCTATAAGTCGCAGGTGGCGCGGCAGTGTACGCGACTGCCGATCATTTTGGTCAACATGCGTCGACACCGATCATGCACTGGTGTGTGCGACCGTTTGCATGCGTATTGGTGGTTCGCCTAGGTCAAAACACACCCGAATGAACGCCTTCAAGTTGGAGGACCCAATGGTGAAGAGAGATTGTCAACAAAAGCTTCGCGAAAAGCTCCCTCTCTCTCACCCTCTGGATGTTGATCAACACTGGTCAAGTCTCCATCAAGCCTTGTTGTCGGTCGGTTTGTCCAGCTGTGGCCTCACTCGGTCTACTCCCAAATGCTGGATCTCGGGAAGATCATCAGAATTGCTGGATCGTCGACGGGCGGTGCCTGCTGGCGCAGAGTACAACGAACACCGCCGGTCTATTACGCAACAGCTGAAAGCAAGCCTTCGCTCTGATCGTGAATCTTGGTGGTCAAAACAAGCTGGTGAGATGGAAGCCGCTGTATCAGCTGGCAACTTCCGCCGTCTGTTTTACATCATCAGGGCCACTGGTTGCAATTTCCACGCTATCAGCCAGATGATTTGCGAGGCAGACGGCACGTAGATCAACAACCTTCACAGACGATTGGGTCGCTGGTCAGAGCATTTCGCTCTTCAATTCAACCACCCAACACAGTCCCCTGCGACACCTCCAGCCCCAATATATGATGCTTGGCCTGTCTCCACAGCCCCCCTCCAAATGAAGCAGAGATTCGAAATGTAGTCCAATCTTTGAAACGCCACAAAGCTTCGGGTCCCGATAACCTACCACCAACTCTATTCAAAGATGGTGGGAGTGTACTTATCAGCGAAATCCTATCACTGTTTCCGAAAGTTTGGACTGAGGAGAAGGTTCCGAGCTCATGGGGAGAATCGGTCATTGTCCCGATTCACAAGAAGGGTTCCTGCGCCGATTGCTGCAACTACCGCGGAATCTCCCTAATCTCTGTCGCATCCAAAATCTTCGTGTCCGTCCTACTTGGCATGCTTTCAACGACTAGAGAGGAGTTTTCCCGAGAAGAACAAGCCGGATTACGTCCAGGCCGTGGCTGCATCGACCAAATCTTCACGCTTCGGCAAGTTCTCGAACTTCGTCACATCCACCGGCGGCCAACAATCGTAGTGTTCTTAGACATCCGAGCGGCATTTGATTCAGTAGATAGATCTGCGTTGTGGAACTGTTTACTGAAGAAAGGTGTGCCCGACAAGTTTGTAACCATCCTGAAAGTACTTTACAGTCACACGTCGGGCAAAGTTAGGGCTTACGGCACACACTCCTCTTCATTCGCTGTGACCAGCGGTGTTCGCCAAGGTTTCCCTATTTCACCTTTCCTCTTCAATTTCGCCATCGAAGATGTTCTCCAAAGAGCACTGGAAGGTGTCCAGGACTGCGGTGTTGGGCTTCTCCCTGGAGACAGACTCATGGACTTGGACTACGCCGATGATATCGCCTTGCTGCGGGACGACTCACAATCCGTCCAGAACGCTCTGGACCGCTTGGCGATGGAGGCGTCTAAGTACGGCCCATGCTTCACTCCGGGAAAATGTAAAACGCTGCTCCAGGATTGGCAGGTTCTTGAACCCGCGCTCACCACTGTTGGACATGTTCTGGAGCAAGTCCCTTGCTATACTTACCTAGGGAGTTGCATCACGGCTGGTGGCGGTGTTGGAGATGAAGTCTCACAACGGATTGCAAAGGCCCGCCTTGCATTCATCAAACTGAGACATCTATGGCGTCGTCGTGATGTCAATCTCAAGCTCAAGGGCAGGGTGTACGATGCTTCCGTCCATGCAGTACTCTTGTACGGCTGTGAGACCTGGCCTATTCGCTCGGAAGATATGAAGCGGCTATCAGTCTTTGATAATCGCTGTCTACGAAGGATTGCTAGGGTGTGGTGGCAACACCACGTAGGCAACGCAGAGGTGAGAGACCGCGTGCTTGGGGCGAATAGTGCCAGTCTTCAAGACATTATTCTCCGACATCGCATGCGCTGGCTCGGGCATGTTCTGCGCATGCCAGCCCATCGCCTTCCACGTCGAGCGCTATTTGCACTCCCAGGGAGCGATTGGAAAAAGTGCCGCGGTGGACAGCCGATGACGTGGAGAAGGAGTATGAAGAAGGCGACCTCAAGTTTGGCAGCAGTCGGACCAGTCCGCCTTCCAGGTTGGGGACCACGAGATGCTGAATTGCAGTGGTTGGAAACATTGGACGTCATGGCCCGCAACAGACATCAGTGGCGGCAATGTTGTCCCGCAATTTCACCATCCCTATGATACACACAAAAACAAAAAATACAAAATGGCGTGCGTAAAACAAAAAAATCGTTTCCCATATTTTTTAAATCGCATTAGTGTTCTCATCCTCTTCACCTTTTTCTTCTGCCGTGGTTCTGATGGCACAATGTCTGTTAACAGACTATGAATATATATATATATATATATATATATATATATATATATATATATATATATAGGGTTCGGAGCATACGAGCCAACTGAAGAGTCTACTTCACCGAGAGGTTATCATTCCAAAATTGACAATATGGTAACACATAGCCAAACGGCCCGTGCGACAGATTCAATGATGAAGATTCGGAAAGTAAGCT